TCATGCCTTCTGATGAGGAAGCAGAGGTCGGGGGCTCAGACGTGGACTCATCCATCACCCAAGCTGAAGTCACCGAGGTAGTTGAGAAGCTTCTTGGTAGAAAGGCACCAGGGGTGGATGAGATCCGCCCTGAGTACCTTAAGTACCTTAAGTCTCTGTATGCTGTGGGGCTGTCTTGGATGACACGCCTCTGCAATGTCGCATGGTGGCTGGGGACAGTGCCTCTGGACTGGCAGACCGGGGTGGTGGTCACTCTTTTCAAGAAGGGGGATCGAAGGGTGTGTTCCAACTATAGGGAGATCACACTCCTCGGCCTCCCCGGGAAAGTCTATGTCAGGATACTGGAGAGGAGAATTCAATCGATAGTCGAACCTCAGATTCAGGAGGAACAATGCGGTTTTTGTCCTGGCCGCGGACCAGATCTATACCCTTTTCAGGGTGGTGGAGGATTCATGGGAGTTTGCCCAACCAGTCCACATGTGTTTTGTGGATCTGGAGAAGGCATTCAACCATGTCCCTTGTGGCGCCCTGTGGAGGGTGCTTGGGGAGTATGGGGTCCCGGGCCCTTTGCTAAGGGCTGTCCGGTCCCTTACGACTGGAGCAGGAGCTTGGTTCGCATTGCCGGCAGTATGTCAGACTTGTTTCCGGTGCATGTTGGACTCCAGCAGGGCTGCCCATTGTCACTGGTTTTGTTCATTATTTTTATGAACAGAATTTCTAGATGCAGCCAGGGGCCGGAAGGAGTCCGGTTTGGAGACCATAGGAGCTCATCTCTGCTTTTTGCAGATGACGTTGTCCTGTTGGCCCCATCAAACCAGGACCTCCAGCATGCACTGGGGCAGTTTGCAACTAAGTGTGAAGCAGCTGGGATGAGAATCAGCACCTCCAAGTCCGAGGCTATGGTTCTCAGTCAGAAAAGGGTGGCTTGTTCCCTTCAGGTTGGTGGAGAGTTCCTGCCTCAAGTGGAGGAGTTCAAGTATCTTGGGGCCTTGTTCACGAGTGAGGGAAGGATGGAACGGGAGATTGAGAGGCGGATCGGTGCAGCTTCTGCAGTAATGCGGTCGATGTACCGGTCCATCGTGGTGAAGAAGGAGCTGAGCTGTAAAGGCGAAGCTCTCAATTTATTGGTCGCTCTACATTCTGACTCTCACCTATGGTCATGAGCTTTGGGTCATGACTGAAAGGGCAAGATCCTGGATACAGGTGACCAAAATGAGCTTCCTCCGGAGGGTGGCCAGGCGCACCCTTAGAGATAGGGTGAGGAGCTCGGTCACCCGGGAGGAGCTCAGAGTAGAACCGCTGCTCCACCACATCGAGAAGAGCCAGCTGAGGTGGCTCGGGCATCTGTTTCGGATGCCTCCTGGGCGCCTTCCTAGGAAGGTGTTCCAGGCATGTCCCACCGGGAGGAGGCCCCGGGGAAGACCCAGGACACGCTGGAGGGACTATGTCTTGTCTGGAGGGAGGGAAGCCTGGGGATCTTTGCTTAGACTGCTGCCCCCGCGACCCGGTTCTAGATAAGCAGAGGAAAATGGACGGATGGATGGAAAAAGAGAATGGAAAAATGACATTCATGTAAGACAGATTTACACCCATAGTAAATTATATTAATTCTTTTTTTATTCTGTTTCATACGTTTTTTTGTGATTATGAAGCCACATCATTATATTTGAATAGAAAAAGAGATGGACCCACAGATGGAAAACAAGGGTTGCAATAAAGAAAATAAATAGCAGATCGTACATGGGCACAATGTGAACACTGAGCAATAGATGGGTAATACTGAATCTATCTCACGCAGATTAACAACACCAAGACATTCTTTCATTTCAGGGGAAATGCTTGAGACTCACATAACCTGCCCCTCACAATCCATTTCAGGCTCCCCAGACCCTGCGTCATGTTTCCAAATTAGTTCAGAATATCCACCATGACAGGCTGGGCTCAGCAGCAGTCACAGCAGCACCTTCCCTGACTTGATGACACGGCAGCATCAAGGAAGAGTCAGGAGGACAAACGAACAGTGAGGGAGTCGTGACACTTCATTAAAGTGATGCACTCGTCTGACTTTTTTCTCCGCTCCCTCAACCATGCTTTCTTTCTTCACCTCAGTTGCCCTTCTCTTTTCAACTTGATTTACCTTTTCCTTTTATACCTTTTTCCTCTCTTTCATTTCATCACTTTACAGTATTGGTCTTTTTTATAGTATATAAACAGAATATCACAGTTTAGGATATGGCAAAAAATAAAATATCACTTGTTCAAATGCATAAAATGCACTAGAGTACACTTACTCTGACAATGACCTCTTGTAGCCATGTTAATTATTATTGTTATCTTTTTGGATCACCACTGTTGTGGTGCCACAAAATGTCTGGAAAGTTGTCAGCATGAGTGCTTCAACAAAGCTGTTTGCATCTCGTTTCCTTTCTATTTTGTTACTGTTAAATAATGACCACAAAACATCAATATTCAACATCAAAGTAAAAAGTCTGAAAGATTTTAGCATCTTTTGATTTGGTACAGACCTGTGGTTCCTAGTGGTAATGCTAAGATCATCATAATAACACATGTCCCAGTTTTTGCTCAAAACGACATATGCCAAGGCAAATATTATTCCTCTTCAGACCTGACACTGACAATGCAATTAATGGCTACAGCAGAAAACAGTGGCCTAAAACAGAATGGGGTTTGATATTGTGAAACTATTAAGGATTCTACCACATGCTGAAGCACATCTGTGAGTGAAACTTAATTTTGTGTGCACAACCCCTATGCCTTCCTGGTGTTTACTGTACACAGTGTCCCCTATTTTTAAATGCAGTCATGTACATTTGTTTGCTAGAGCCATCAACAATGACATCACCCTGCCACCTGACTGTTTCTGGCCTGTCTCCATCTCTTTCTCTCTCTGTCCATCTCTTCCATGCCTGGCCCAGGCAGCACCCTCTCTTACCTGGCCAAAGAGACTTCCTCTTTTTCTCCATGTCTGCCTGGCTGCTCTGCTCTAGGCCCGAGGGCTCTATACAGTGCAGCTGGCTGGGCATTGCTCCACATGATGTCCATTTGCAAGAAGTGCCCTTCCCCTGCCTACAAAAACAACAGCTCCCTAACCACAAAATGCACAGTGGACACCATAAATTGAAGTCTATTTGCCATTTTTAGAGGAAAGGCATAATATGTCAAAGAGAAAGCAAAGAAGGAGGGTGGCAATAAGAAATCTAAATACAGAAACAAAAAGACAGATAAGAAATACTGCATCTTATACATAACTGAAAAAACTGCGACCCTACAATGGCACTTTGTTATTTTGGTCTTCTCTGAAATCCCTCAAATCCATTAGCCTTTCTGTGGTTTACAGCTGAGGTGCCCAACATTCCTGAATGTTTACAGCTCTGTGACCTAATGGACAATTTAAGCATGAATAATCCACTGAGGAGGTGTGGGATGCATTTACATTGAATTCCCCCCATTCTTGTACCAAGACTATCCACTAAACCACCCAGTGCACTCGAAAAGAGTTTGATAGGAAAGGAGAAAAGAGAATGTATTGCTGAGGTAACAAACACAAAGCCAGACCGATGTATAAACAGTGAGGCAGGGGCCAGACAGACCAAAAAAAACTTAATGTCTTATGTACTTTTACAGCACCGGGCGCACTCCAACCCCAGCCGGCCGGTAGCTGGAGATTGTGAAGGACGAGGGAGGGAGGCCACCAAGGGGAGGAGGGCAGGCCCACCAGGGGCAGGCACCGCGTGCTCACACACACCACGACAGGTGTTCCAGGGAGTCTTCACTTAAGGGGATGAAGGCATCATGTGCCTGCGACTGCCCCAGCCGTGGGAAGGACGCGAGGGGCGTCTTTTCTCCTGATTAATGAGCAGGGGGGCACACAAGGGCAAGCCAAGGGGGCCCGGTCCCTGACCCCAAGGCAGTCCGCTCCAAATACCCCTCACTTCAGCACCTGTCTGGGCCTTGTCACACATGTAATGCGGTCAACACAGAGATGAGGCGTCCACCGGCAGCCGCGCCCGACTCATGCGGGGCCCAACGGGGCGCCCTCCAACCCCAGCCGGCCGGTAGCTGGGGATTGTGAGGGGGGGG